CAGTACAATTTTTTTCAATCACAATTTGCCTACACTAAGCATACTGATAACAGGATTATGAGCTGAATGGATTAGGGAACACCAAAGCAGAGGATGTAAAGTAGCCCACTGGGATGTGGGGAATATAAATTTCTGAAACCTAGGAAGCTTCTCAGTAATATTTAATAACATATTCTCAATTCTAATTGTGCATTTTAGTATCCCTGAAAACAGAACATGTCTTCAAATGGATGGCATCTCATGGCAAAGTATTTTAGCCCCCTCTTCCTTGGTGATATGTAAAATCATGGTACATCTTAGAAATAATGATACCGTCTATGAGACAAAATATACAGGTTCACTTAATGTTTTAAATTAGACCTTCACAGTTATACACTGTATGGACGGTATTCTAATGGAAGAATGGGAGTTCCATAATCACAGGACTAAGTGCTACAATGTATTAAGGTTCACCTGTGTTTAATTAAGTGTACTTATTTGTGAGTTCTATCTGGGATATTGGTGTCTCCATGATAAAATTTTTGTTTTTTATGTGGGAGACTGGAGTTTGATTTTTGGCCACTGCTCCTCAACCACCCATTTGCCACAGGAGGTGTGTACACTGGTATGATGCTGAGCACATTTTCAAGTGGCACTTCTAGGGTAAGATGGACTAGGAAGAAAGGCCTGATGATCTGCTCCCCAAAACCAGTCAATGAAAACTCTATTTGTAACAACTGTGATTTGTAACTCATCATAAGAACAACACAGGCTGGAGAGCACTCTGTTCTGGTGTGCATGTTGCCACAGTCAGGAGGAGGTTCAACAGCACCACATAATACCGGAGTCCATCTAGTTTTAGATGGACTAGTGAAGCTAACCCTCAAGTAATGGATAAATGGTACCTGAAAAGACCACTCTCTGAAGATACCAAGTTTAATCAGAACAACTACAAAACCAACTCTGAGACACCTGAAAAAAAGCAAGCAAATCAATGATGGGTTGATCAACTCTGACAAAAATTGGCTAAAAAGAGAAATATTAGAAATGGCAATTTTAAATACGGCTTTATATGAACATCACTTTAAGTATATATATTATTCTGAATATAATCTAAATTTGAACATATACAAAATATAAGCAGATATATTTGAGTGTACATGAATTTTTTTTCTTAATAAAAAGGTGGCAGGGGAAAAGCTGGAAGATATGAAGAACAATGTGGCATCAGGGTTGGAGAACAACCTGTGATTTACAGATGACACAATTTTCCTTGCTGAAAGCTAAGATGCCTTGAAGCACTTATTGATGAAGACCAAAAACTACAGCCTAGATCAGACTAGCCCAGTACAGATTACGTCTCAACATAAAGCAAAATAAAAATCCTCACAACTGGAACAATGTAAAATATAATGATAAATGAACAAAGGCCTGAAGTTGTCAAGGATTTCATCCCACTTGGATTCCAAACATTGCCCAAGGAAGTAGCATCAAAAAATCAAATGATGTACACTGCATCGAGCACATGCGCTGAAAATGTAATTAAGTATTAAAAAGCAAAGCTATCACTTTACAGATAAGTGCACCTGACAAAAGTCATTGTATTTTCATTTGCTTTATATACATGCAAAAGCTCAACAATGTATTAAGGAAGAGAAAAGAAGAATGGCTACATTTGAATTATTATGTAGGCAGAGAATATTGAAAATACTATGGACTATCAGATAAAACAAATCTGCCTTGGAAGAACTACAGCCAGAATACTTCTTAGAAGTGAGGATGGTGAGACCTGATCTCATGTGACACAGGAAGAGAGAGGATCGGTACCTGGAGAAGATTATGGTTGGTAAAGCAGGTGGTGTGCAAAAGAGGCAGACCTTCAGGGATATGGACTCTCAAGCATAGTGGTTCCAGCAATGGGCTCAAACATTGCAATGACTGTGAGGATGGTACAGGGCCGGGCTGTGTTTCCTTTTATTGTCATTGTCAGACAGAACCAAAATGTACAGACAGCACTCAAATCGATGACTTATGAACTTAGAAAAAGGTCTTTGTTAACACATCCCTTTTGTTAAATGACTCTCAAAGAGATGAACTAACTCGGTGGCAACAATGGGCTTAAGGAAAGCAGCACTCTTGGGTAGGGTGCAGGTTTCGGAGAGTTTGATTCTGTTGTACAGAGTCAATATAAATTGAAGTGAACTTGAGGACATTTAACACCCCTCCTACCATCACAACTGTAGAGACCAAAAAAGGAAAACCTTTAGAGAATTTTACAGATACAATAAAAGGTAACTTATCTCTAGTAATTTTCACTTTAATGAAATTCTTCTGCCTTACACTAGTTCAGTATTTCAAGTCAGACCAATACGACACTACATTAGTTTTTTAACTCTAAGTGGATTTAATTGCAAGAGCTACTTACTTCATCATTTTTATATGAAAGAAACACATCTTGTAACCAAAATCATCTATTACAAAAAGTTTCAAAGGTCAGGTCTTCAACTAAGCTTTTACTGTTTTTATTCAAAGACACTCTCAAAAAGGTACTGTCTGGATAAGCTGTAATTTATAAATAATAATAATGTATACTGTATTACAAATAGAATTATTTGCTTTACAATTACATAATATACATGATGGAAAAGTGTATCTCTTTTTATCATCTGAAACCAAACACCATGAGCAAATAAACATAAAAAAAAGAATGAGAGCTTGGTAGCTTCCTTTTGAAGACATCAAGTGAGAATTGTAAATCTCTAACTAGACAGGTCAGAGCCCCTTTCACACGACTTTGCCCTGCCAGCAGCTGATCCAGAAGGAGCAGCCCCTCTTTGGGTGAATTAGTCTAGTGCGTTGCTCTTAAGACAGAAAGAGCATTTAGAGAGAAAGCCCAGCCCACAAAGTAGGGCCTGGAAGAATTTCAACAGATCAATGTGGACAATAAACGGAAGTTGAGAAAATAGAGAAAGAAAGAGGAAACATCACTTGGTAAAGGAATAAAAAGCTCCATCTGGAGAATAGCTTAAAATGCCAGTGTGAACCATAGCCCTGCTGCAGAAGACCCTGGGGCTTTCTTTAGGTTGGCAGCTGGCTTTTAAAAAAAAATTTTAGGTTTTCTGAGTAAGATTTTTTTTTTTCTTCTTAAGCCCATGATCTACATCTATCATGCTTATCTCCAGCTGAAGAAAACAGCTTGTCCCAGGTAGAAGCTGGAAAAACAAAGAGATTCATTTTAACTCAAAAAAAAGGCTATTATTCTAAGCTGTGCTTCTACTTAATGTTTTCTTCATAACTACACAAATCTCCATAAAATCATCACCACCAATTAATGATTTCTTCTGTGGTTTTAACTTCAATTAGATGTTTCCTTTTTCAAGACTTCATGTCATTTTAGCTTCAGTTTTATAACTTTCAATTCTAAGTTAAATTTATAAATTTCTATAACTCCAGTTATTTCTAGAATGCTTCCTGTTAGTAGGAGCTATTGAGTCAGCCCTAACTCTCCGTCACTCTGCGCACAATGAAGCAAAACCCTTGCCAGATGCTGTGCTGTTCTCACAACCTCCTCGTGCTTCAGCCTATGTCTGTAGTACTAAGCTAACTCATCCTGTCCAGGCCTTCCTATTTTTCACTGATCCTCTATTTTCCCAAGTAGGCTGTCTTTTTCCAGGGAATTGGTCCCTCCTGATAACATGTTCCAAATGAGAAGAAGTCTACCCATGCTGGTTTTTACTTTCAACCTGTACATCTTCCAAGATGGACTTGTTCTAGTGGCAGTTCATGGTATAGTCAATATTCTTCAACACCACCATAATTTAAATGCAGTATGTAGAATGAAAGGAACCATGGTGGCCCTAGTGCCTAATATAGTGGGCTGCTAACTGACAGGTAAATATACCAGTTGCTCTGGGAGAAAGATACTGGGAAGTCCTTATGAGATGAAACCCATCTGACCTCATGACGAGGTTTGATTTTTTCCTAGAATGTGGAGCCCATGTATTTCTATTATCTTCTAACACCCAAGCCCCCTTACACTTCTAATCCAGTGGTATATTTTATACTACAAATACTTCACTGCAACTTTTTTCTTCATTAAGCAATGCATGTTGCACTCCCCCTTTCCTTTTCTATGCATAAGCACTTATCTCACATTTCCTTTAAAAGGCTGGTATATTGTTCCATTATACAAATGCAACACAATTAATATTGCACCAGCCCTTTTTAATGGATGCTGGACTGCTTCCAAGTATTTACTAATACACATAATGCTCTCGTTCAATGCCATTTACGTGTGCAACTGGGAGCATGTAAGAGCAACTATAATGTCACTGGATCATTTTAAGTTGCTCCTCTCTGACTTTTTCTAAGCTTAATTATTGTTTGAAAAGAAACAAAAGACTAGAAAGCACCCCAAACTCCAGCTGCAGGTGCAAAAATAATTAGCAATAAATAGCCTTCTGCTAAATATAGATCAAGGACTTGGAAAATTTTCTTTCTCTTAGTGCAATAATAATGACAACCAGAACCAAGAAATGTACGTGGCACAATTCTTTTTCTAATGTTCATGTTTTTTTTTTTTAAAAAAAGACCGCTTAAGAAGGTCAATTAGGTAAATAGTCATTTAAGAAAATAGACTTTAATTACTGAAGAATTTTAGATAGCTAAGATACGAGGTTAAGAAAATAGATGAACCTTCGAAACTTCCATTTGATTCTGTAAGGATCCCAACTCCTGGAAGTTCACAAATCATGGCAAGTGTGTTTGAAAACAGTATCCGAGGCGTTAAGTATTAAAGAGAAAACACAACCGACGTCATGGCTCCCGCCTTGTTCACAATCACCCCACCCCGCAGGCTGGCCGGAGCAAGGAGCGCGGGGAGGCACCGCGGCCGCATGCACGCCGACCCCCGGCCCCCCGCCGCGGTCACCCGGTCACGGCGGGACAGGGCCGCCGGGCCGGGGGTAGGAGTCTCCCCAGGCCGGTCCGGGCGCCGAGGCGCCGTCCCTCCCCGCTCTCACCTCAGCTCTTCATCCGCATGCCCGCTGGGCTGTTCGGCCGAGGACACCACAGAGGAAGCGGCCGAGCTCTTGTTCTTCAGGATCCCTTTGATGGGCCGGTGCGAGGCCGTCGAGGCCGCCATAGCCCGTCGTTCCGGCTGTCGACTCAGCGTCGCTGTTTGGCGCAGGATCGGAGAAAAGAAGGGCCAGGGGCGAGCAGAGACCGCGCTAGGCAGCCGCGGAGCCTGGTCTGAGCCGTAGCAGCCACACCTGCTGCTTGTGGTGGAGACCGCTAGCGCGTCCTGGTCACGACACGACGACCCGACGCCACAAACGACGCGGCGCCGCTGGCGGCCCTTCGCGCGCCCGCCGCGGCCGGAGTTTCACCCGCGGCTCGCGGAGAGGCCGGCCCAGCGCCCCAGCGTCGGAGCAGAGCCGACACCGAAGCCGCCCAGGCCCGCCCTCTCGCGATATCTAGACACAGGGGGCGGGGGGCGGAGCCAGAGCAAACCCGGCCTCCGTGCCCCGCCCCCTCCGGCCCGCTGCCGTGCGCACCCCTCCCCAGTGCTGGGCTGGGCAAGGAAGGTCTCTCCGCAGAGCCTGCCAAGAGGTTCAGGGCTCCTCGCACAGTGTTTTACTATATAAAGTTGGTGATCTCATTTCCATTTCACAAATTAGCCAACTAAAACTCATAGATGACATCACTCCCCAAAAATGCTAGATGCTTTCAAACAAATGATGTCATCTCATTAGTATTATTATAACCTACATTTAAAAAGTTCAATTCCCCGCCCTGTCATAAATCAAGGGATATTAACATTGAAGTGGGTTTCTTTTAGGGGCTTGGGAAATGGTAGAATATTGACTTTTATGATGTCATAAATACTGCCTTTACTATTGGAGAATGTGAAAGAGAGTGTCTAAGTGCTTCTTTAGGAGGGTGGCTGTAACTGAGTGACTTTTAGTGAACAGAAATGTCTTACAATTTAGGAGGCTAGATGTCTTACAATTTAGGAGGCTAGAAGTGGGAATTCAGGACATTGGCTTAAGGAAAGGCTTTCTCTCTCTCCGCTCTTGTCTCTCCAGGTTCTGTTCCTGGCTTCCTTGTTGATGGTCTTGGGGCATTTCTCTTTCTCCATCTATGCATCTTCCCTTCTGTGCTTCATTTACTCTTTAAATCTCAAAAGTGGTTGAGTTTAAGACATCCCAAAGAAGCTCTGTTGTTTTAATCCTTACGGAGTTGTGTTGCTAACCAGAAGACTTCTCTTGGGAACTCCAAGGGATAAAAGATAGGCAGTCTCCTTCACTGCCATTTACAATCCCAGAAATATGCTGGGGGATCAGTTGTAAGTAGGTTCTGAATCAGCAGCACTGAGTGAGGCATTTACACTGATATTGCCTCATTAACATAAGAGAGAACTCTTTACAAATGGGATTACATTCACACCTTTAGAGAGAGAGAGAGAGAGAGAGAGTGTGTGTGTGTGTGTGTGTGTGTGTGTGTGTCAGAACCCAGCCATACCTGGCCCACCAGCAGGTTTTCAGAGGCAGTAATCGCAAAGGGAGAGATTGCCCATCCTTGTCCTGAGAAACAGCTTGTGGCATCAAGCTGCATGCCTTTGGGATTGCAGTGCAGCTTCTTGCCACAGAGCCACCAGAGCTCCAAATAGAAATTAGGATTTTTTTGGCTATCCAATTCAATTTATAAAAGAAAAGAATTAATGTGACCACCGTCACTCAGCCTATCAATAGGTGTGAGTGTCAACTAAGAAAGAGACTTGTGACTTCTATTGTCCCATTATTCCTATTTCTTCTTCAATGCTGTTTTAGTGGATGGTGACTCAACGGCATTTAACAATAATACCATCAACATAGAGAGAGATCAGGTGGCCTAGTGGACAGAAAGTGACGCTACCAAGCCAAAGGTGGATGGCTTTTAATCCACGGCCCTCAGACCTGTTTTTCACTGTTTCTGTTCAAACATTCTTCTAGGTCGTATAGGCCTGGTGTGTCCACTTGCCGTACAGAGGTAACTCATGGTCTCTGTGAAGCTGAACACTGTGACACTGATGTGTCAAATGCATTAATGGTTACCCATGGCGGACAGTGTTTGGTGAAGCTCCCCGATTAAAACAAGCTTGGAAGCAGGAGTGGCATCCACTTCTGTAAATAGCTTGCCTCAGGAAGCCCTATGAACCTGGAGAAAAGATGGAAGTCACACAAATGTTGAGGACTTTCGTTCATAGGGTCCCTATGAGTTGTCTACAACTAGACAGCACTTAACAACAACAACAATTGCTGTGGATGCTGTTATTAAGTCTACAAGTCAAAAAGGTGAACAGTTCAACCTTTTGCAATTCGACTAGCTACTCCAGGGGAGAAAGGTATCTGCTTCTTTAAAAATTTACATTCTAGGGGAGCTCTGGTAGCCTAGTGACAAGAAGCTGCACTGCAATCCCAGAGGAACACGGTTTGAATCCACCAGATGCTCTGCCGGAGAAGGGGGCGCAATATCCTCCTGTACCAGTCAGATCTGATTTGACGGTACACGCGCACAAAATAAAAGAAAAAAAAATTTACATTCTTAGAAACCAGAGTTGCTATAAAGCAAATGGATTCTACGAAGATTTTTTCCTTATTATTTCTTTTATTTATGCTGGCGTAAGTTTCTAGAATTGTCATTTTGCACTCTCTCTCCCTCCTTAAAAAAAAAAAAAAAAGAGCCCAAAGAATTACTTTATAGCAGTTATTTGGCTCAAACTGGCTAAATAGTCTAGATGCCTTCAGAACTTTGAAAAAGAAGAAAAAACTAAAGACTTCTGTGTGTCAAGATATGTGGGTGCTCAGTTGGGGGGATACCATGGATGTTATGAGGAGTAGAAGTGGATTCTCCAGAATAGAGGGAAGTGTAGAAGTTTGAGGCCCTGGGACTAATCTCAGAACTTTGTTGAATATATGTTCAGAGCTAAGCCAGAGTCATCAAAGATGGATTGACATTGTGACTTCAACAATGGGCTCTAGTGCATCAGAGATTGTGAGGAAGGTACATCATAGGGCAGGGTTCAGGTTAGCTCTTCGCAGAGTGACTACGAGTTCTACTCAAATCAATGGCACCTAACAACAATAACTTGAAAACTTTGCACTGAACTGACACCTGGCTCCTAGCAATGTCAGTCCACTAGTGTGTAGAGGAGTGGAGGATATGTATGAAGAGAAGCTTCTTTGTCTCAAATCCCATCTCCTGTAACACAAGCTCTGTGACTTGGCGAGAAGCACTCTGTTTCTTGTTCTTGGGACTCTGTGCTCATTAGAACAACCTCGGGACAGCAATCCTGTTTTCACAGCCCAGCCAAGCTGATAGCTGAGTTATTGGCTTAGAGTCACAGAACAGGCCTCAGGAAGGGAGTGAATGCTGGCTGGAGATAGTGGAGGAGAAGCGAACAGGAAGGGGGAGAAGGGAAATAGCCATGCCAGTGATGGAGCTGAATGTGCTCTCTGGGGACCTCCCAGTTCAGGATCTGCAGCCTTCCGGAGCACCTCCCTCTCCTGGCCCCACCTCGCTTCTCAGCCACCTTCCCCTCATTCATCTCCCTCTCTCCCAGGTCAGTGCATCACACATCCTATATCTGCACTCTGAATACCCTGACAAGTCCTTTCACGGAAAGGAAATTAGGAGAACCACCTCCCTTCCTGAGTCCCCCAGTTCTGGGACTTCAACACCTGTACTGCTTCTCTTGCCCTGTCACGAGAAACCTAGGTCAGGAGTGGTAATCCTGTCTCAAGGGGATGTGCAAACTTTCTTTCATGTTTTAAATTATCAGGCATTCCACTATGTCCTTGCTTAGACCCAGCAGTCACTGCCCTGAACCTCACTATGATTGGGCCCTTGAGGAAATAATGCTTTGCATTGAGAGCGTCTAAAGAAATTATGGAGGAGTAATAATGTCAATCTGAGGACAAAGATGCACCTGACTCAGGCCATGGTCTTTTCAGTCACTTGCTATGCATCTGAGAGCTGGGCAATGAACAAGGATGGCAGAAGAATTGATATGTTTGATGTAATGTTAGAGAGAAGTGTTGAAGATCAAATGGACTGCCAACAGTTAACAATATGTCTTGGAGAGGGTGTAGCCAGAGTGCTCTTTGGTGGTAAAGATGATGAAGCTTTGTCTCAAGTATTTTGGACATGTTGATAGGAGAAGTTATTCCTTACAGAGTGACATCATGCTTGGAAAGGTGGAGGGGTGGCAAAGAAAGGAAAACCCTCAGCCAGGCAGGTTGACATGGTGACAGAGGGAGGCTACAGGCTTGAGTGTGTCACAGATTGTGAGGATGGCACAGGGTAGGACAGGGTTCAGATCGGTTCTTCATAGGGTTGCTATACATCATACTCAACTTGTCACACTCACAGTCAGAGTGCAGATATAGGATGCATTAACAACAACAACAACAATGAAAGGGGCTAAGACAGTATGGCATAATTTATTTTATTATGTTGTGTTGTTGTTATGTGCCGTCGAGTCGCTTGCGACTCATAGCGACCCTATGTACATTATGCATAATTTAAAAAGGAGGGATCCTATTTTGGAGCAGAAGGTTATAATTCTTTAAACAAGCTTGGAAAAAAAAAATCCTTCAAATAAGAAAAAAAAGGTTAAACCTTTGCCTCTTGTACTCTCTCTGCCACTGAAAATCCCCCTGAAAGTGAATACAGATGAAGACTTCCTTCACATTAAATATAAAGCAATACCCAAAGAAGCATTTGTTTGACCACAAGATCATAGTCATCAGTCCAGTGCCTCCTTTAGTTTTGGAATAGTTGAGTCTCTGCTCAATGGGATCAATGAGTTACCAAAAGTCTATAAGGCATGCTCCTCCTATTCCTCTGCTGAGATGTGCTCTTGGAGGAAGTCCTCTGGACCAAATAGCCCAAACCCTAAATTTGTATGACATTTCCTATTTGTGATGGGCTTGCTGCCAAGACATTGGCTGTGAATGGAATCTTCCACTCTGGTTTCAGTTTCTGGAAGTAAGCTCATGGCAAATCAAATATTTAAAATACATATCCATATGTTTAGAAATGAGCTGATAGTTGTTTCTACTGTCCTTTTAAAAAGGTCATCATAATAGCCTGGCCCAATGC